AAATAAAGTCTTACCCTCTTTCTTCTGGCCCGACTCCGAGCAGATAGCCTCCGCACGCAGCGTGTTGGCTGGCTGCGTATATCTGAAGCTCCTGCGTACCGTCTGAAAATACGTCTTACAGGCAGCTGGAAAACAATTAAATGAGAGTGGTATAAATAAAAAATCAAACGCAAGTCACAGTAACAAGGAAGGAGAAAACATTAAAACAAGTCACTTACACACAATGTCGTCTTTATCAACATCGTGCAAATTTGGACTTGCTGATACTGTATGGCTCCGAGCAAATAGGTCACCGCCTCATTGTGAGGCGACAGTAGTCTGTGAAAACAAAATGTAAAGCTATGATCGGTATCTATCCGTATCCATTGCCTTTTACCGCAGAATGAAAGCATATTCTTTAAATCTTACCCTTGCTCCGGTTCATAGCGCCTGCAATTAGTCTCCGAGTTGTGAAGACGGCGTACTGCTTCCTGTGAATCACAAAAAATACACTTTAATAAAGCTTGTTCTTGCAAGGCTACTATTAGCGGTAGCTTCTGGCTAGGCTGCTTTTCGCCGTAGCATAGGCAGTAATCGAACATATATTTACCGCTAGCATCTCTTCTTTGAGTTCGTCTTGTTCGATGCAGAGTCGCCATCGCGTCCAAGAGGAGTTTTACCCCGAAATCCAGACGCTCCAGACCGCCTGCACAAAGCAAAGCATACATCCTCCACTGTGGCTGCACACCGCACCGCTCTACTTCTTCTTCTTCTTGTCGAGTTTTATGGCGGTTGGCAACAAACTGTTAGTAGCATTACCGCCACTTACTGGTATGGAGTGTGGTTCGTGATGGTTTAAATATTGATCCTGATACATTCTACCCTAACTTCTTCTAAACATACATTCACACATTCACACTTAAAAATATATACATATTTGTGCACAGCTTTGTATATCATTCCTTCACTCACAAACACACTTACTATAATTAAATTCTATGGAATAATTTTGTTTTCTTTAGAAATCGAATAATTATTTGTATGTGTTTACTCCCTAAATTTTTCCTCAGTATATCTAATAAATTAACCTTCTCCTTAATGTCTTCAAACTCTCTTCTCATATATCTTTTCTCTCTTTCATATTTATGACATTCTAATATAACATGTTCTATGGTTTCATATTTATCACAGAAATCACATTTGCCCGTTTTATGTTTTTGTATTTTAAAAAGTGTATAATTAAGTCCTGTATGACCAAATCTTAACCTTGTTATCACTCTTTCCTCCTTTCTATTTCTTCTTCCATTTCTTCTTTCTCCTACCATCTTCTGAATTTTATAAAACCATCTTCCTGTTTTATCTTCATCCCACCTTTTTTGCCAAATTTCCATAAGTTTCTCTTTAATAATACTCTTTCCTTCTGATTTACTTATTTTAACTATAAAACTAATAGAATGTTTAATTGCCCTTTTTGCCATTTTATCTGCCCTCTCGTTTCCTTCTACCCCAATATGTGCTGGAACCCACACAAATGTAACTATCAGCCCCATGTTTCGTATTCTGAACAGTGTATGATTTATTTCTAATAAAATGTCCATCCTACTATCTGTTTGGTTATTTTTTAAACTTAACAATGCAGAGCTTGAATCTGAACATATTATTGTTTTTAATGGTTTTATGTCTTCTACCCATTGTAACGCTAATAATATTGCCAACATTTCTCCTGTGTATACTGATAATCCATCTGTAATTCGTTTTCCTATTTTTATATTGAATTCTGGTACTACAAATGCTATTCCTAGTTTCTCAGTTATTTTTGATGCATCAGTATAAATTTGAATATATTGATAATAACTGTCTAAATGTAACTGTACTAAATTAATATCTACCGTGTACGATTTATCTTGTTTCTTTTCCATTAGTGCCATATCTACTGTTGCTTCTGGTAGAATCCAGGGAGGTATAATTGATATTGGTGTTGTTTGACTCATTTCTAAACTATTCATTTTAATTTTTTTTATTTTATTTTCAATTGTCCATCCAAAACTCCTCATTTCTTTCTTTTCTTTTTCCCAGCATGGATTTAAAATGTCCAAAGTTGGGTGATCCCCATTATTTCCTTGTAAATTTTGTTCTTCTTAAATCTAATGGCATTTCTCCCATTTCTATTTCTAATGCTGTTGTTGGTGTGGTTTTAAATGCTCCAGTACATAATCTTAGTGCCTGATGTTGGATAATGTCTAATTTGGTTAGATGTGTTTTAGCTGCTGAACCGTACACTAAACAACCAAAGTCTATGTTGGATCTAATCATACTTGTGTAAATCTGTTTTAGTGATTTCCTATCTGCTCCCCAGTCACTGCCAGCCAAACATCTCAAAATATTCAAGATTTTCTTACATTTATCAACAACTTTTTGTATATGTATATGCCATTTTAATTTTTCATCAAACCATAATTCTAAAAATCACCGCGCCGCTCGGAGTTTCTTGGAGATCGTAAAGAGCATGCGCGAGATGAACCAGGGTTTCCGCGGATCAATAAAAAGAATTAAAAAATCATTCTTTTTTTTTTTAAATCAAGGCCTTAATTGGCACTAAAATTATTTAAATATGTTTATCGAAGTATTTATAATTGTTTAATAAAAAATGCTTATAAAAACAATGAACTTGTTCACTACTCCCAAACAGGGGCGTCTCTAGGTTTAAGAGACAAGGGTGGCTCAGCCCCTAGAAGATATTGCGCGTCTCAGACAACTGCTAAGGCGTTCAGATTAACTTGTCTTCTTTATGGCTTTTATTTGGTGCTTTACTGCATTTGTATATGCAGTATACAAATGTTTTTTGGGAAAATATGAGGAAAAAATAAATACAGAAAAAAAAATATTTTTTTTTAAATCGCAAAATAATTATAGGGTGGCTAATGCCAAAGAAAGGATGACTGAAGCCACCCTTAAATAGGTCTAACAACACTCATGCTCCCAAACTCTGCATCTCTTTTCATTCCTGTAATAAGAAGTTTCTTTTGAATGGATTTGATTAAAGTTTAAGTCCCTCGGTATAAAATTAATATTTTGATGGAGATGAGAAATGTGCTTCCTCGTTGGTGAATAACCAATAGTTTGGATCCAATCATTTAAATAAACGGTGTTAGGTTTTTTTTAATATATATATATAAGAATCGGGCTATAATTTCTAGTCACCGATCTGTTGCTACTATATCTTAATTTGACGAACCGGAATTTGTCGATGTTCTTTTTCCTGTTTGGTGCGATTGCAATTGCGGATCTTGACCTGGCCGGACCTTATGACCACAGTGTACCAATCTTCTGATGGCTACTTCCAACAGGATAATGCGCCATGTTATAAAGTGAATCATCTCAGACTCATTTCTTGAAACTTTTCCACTTAAGTAATTGTGAATTGAGCATATTGACAGACAACATTTTATTTTTTATCTTAAATGCAATTCTTTTTTAAATAATTACTGCTCTAAATGTATTGCTCTGTCAGCTAAAGATCTGTTTTGGTCTCTATACTTTAATTAAATAAATCAATTCAAGCTAAAATGTAAGAGGCTATACCTGATCTCTTTGTATCAGAGATTTTCTTATCTTTTAGAAAAATGTCACTTGGGGTAAAACCCCCCCTGCAACCCTGATTTGCATTTGTATAGCTCACAGCATGTTCATTTACATGTTAAAGCCTTCCCTAGAATTCCATGGGGGCGAGGCATGGGGGGAACACTGCCTAAGAAATTCCACGTCAATTTCTGACAATTTACGGGAGTTTTCGGCGAAGCCTGCAAACTGCCGTAAACTGCCGCTAACCTGAAGATCCACGACAATCTACAGTGCCGCATATTGACGAAAATCCCACTTTTCATGCAGTGATTTAAAGCAGGTTGGCACGTGACATTTCGCCAGTGAGGTTCAAAAAATGTCTGAACCCTGAAGAAAGCTGATCAGCACAGATCTTCCAGGTGGATGGAGAGACAGATTCTGGTCCAGCAGCTTTCCAGGTTCCACCTTTTTTAACCAGAGTTAAACATCCTTCTTGTTATGAAAAGAGTGTAAAAAGACGGTGGTGGCCAACGTTGGGCCATTTTCACCCCTGGCCTACATCTAGCTCCGCCCCTGCCTGCATGATAATTGTTGTATTGATAATAGACTCTAGCCAGACTTTATGTATATTTTTGTACATGGAATAATTCTTTTTTTTGGTCAAAGTCCTAAATCGTTTTAAACATGATGCCTACTCCATGTTAGTGTGGTGACGGCTGTACTAATAGAAACATGGGGGTCACGTTAACATCTTAATTGTTAAACATTAGTTATCAGCATTAAAGTCGTAGGGAAGTGGCTGTTCCAACCGTTGCAGTTCTGAATTCTCCTGAGTGGTGCCCAACTTTACAGGAGTGAATAAAGTGAATGTGATTGGTCGATTATCAAGGGGGCGGGATTATTGTGGCAGAACGTTCAAAAGCCAGTTTGGTTGTGGCTGGTTTGTCGGGAGCATCTCGCCGACCAGTTAGCAACTTAGTGCTAGTAGGTTCCCAATGGGAAATTAAATTGTGAACCTACTAGCACTAACTTGGTGACTTAGCAACGACACTGTCAAGGAACGCTATGGACAGAGGAAACATGAAAGAGGAGAGTTTAGTGTCGGAGGTCGTGGATGAGTCTCCCCTCTCTCTTTTGGGCCAATCTAGTCTGAGAGTATATTTATATACATGTTTAAACCAGAATTATTTAAAATTTTAATACGACTTTCCTACAACTTTAAGCAATAATTGAGCTCAACGGAGCAGCACATTTTTTAATTCATCCCCTAACAAGTGTTGAGGTGTCTCTCTGTCAAACTGTTGCCATGGTGATTTCGATACGGGATACAACCTTCTGGTTATTTTGACTATTATACCTACTCATTTGTAGGCATGTATAAAAGGTACATCTCCGATAGAAAAAATTAACTTGAATCATACTTATGATTCAGTATCTCATATGCAAAGTGAGACAAAATGAAGCCAACAGATTTTTATTTCCAATTCAACTTTATTAAAAATATAAGCAACAGAAACACATGCGCACACACTCAGACACTCAGGACTCCACACAGACCCGGGTCCATCCATGTACACCAGTCTGTTAAATGACAACAACACTCTAAAGAAGCTTGGTTCTGCAAGCGTGAAGAAAACAGAAAGCTCTGCCGCTCCCTTAATGGTTCTGATGTCACTGTGCAGAAAATCCTCACCTGGATCATCGGATCAGAACAAGGTTTAAATTCTCATTTCTATCCAAAACAAACAGAAAAACCTAAAAAAATAGAACATCTGAGTTCAGTTTTCAAGAGTCCAATCTGAACAACAGACGGTTCCGGTTCTGTTATAGATCCGTCTTATTCACATATCAACAGCTGATCAAAACCCATAATCCTTTGATACCTAACAGAGAGGGTCGCTGAGGTCAGCATACAAATGATGAGAAAGAAACATTTCTGGTTCTGACCCGTTTGGAGGAAACTTTCAGATAAAACCAGGAAGGAAACCCGTCGGATCTTTGCAAAACTCCCGTATCAGTCGAAAAGTTCTGATCAGACTCAGAACCTGTCCATCTGGGTTAAACTCTGGTTGGAGTCAGTCTACTCGTTAAATCTGGGGATTAATCAACAGCTGGTTTTCAGTCTCAGACAGTTCTGTTGGACCCACCGATCAGAACCTCTGTTTTCTGGCGTCTCTCAGAGAGTCCTTCGCTCTCATTGGCTGACGACCAGCTGCCGCAGGTACGACTGCGTCAGGCCCCGCAGCTCCTCCAGGGTGTAGTCCTCCGGCATCGGCAGGCGGCTGATGTGCGGCGCCAACTGAGCCAGTGGGATGCTGAGCGGGTCGGCGGCACCGTCACCCTGCTGCAGGCTTAACACCACCCGTAGTATGTTCGCCACACGTTTCGCCATTTCTGTAGGGAAGGGAGAGGGGGCGGGGCTTAGTTCAGATGAAACATTATGTGTATAAAAAAAGTTCTACAGAACCTTACTGCAGCTTTCATCTAATTCAGAGAGAATTTACTGTTTCGTCCAGAACCTTCAATGATCCAAACATTTATTTTAATTTTTTTTTAGAACTGATTAATTCTAAAGAGAAGCTGCCATCATTGAACATTGAATCAGAGCTGCGCTGTGATTGGTTCCCTCCTCTCAGTGTGTGAAGCTGTCACCTGATTGGGCGAGGCGGTCCTTGGCCGTCCTGCAGGGCAGCAGCTCGATCCGGCTGCAGAGCGACGTCACGTCGGCATAGAGACGCTCCAGCTCGTATCCGGTGTTCTCCATCTGGGAAAAAAGAACCTCAGTGAGAGAGGTCCAAACCTCCCAGGAGCTCAGCTGGTTTTCCTGGTTCACTTCCACACATGGATCATTATGGTTCTGGATTTAAACCAGATCTTTTCTGTTTGCATCTGAACCATCTGCAGTCAAAACCTCTTCAGACCAGATTAATGTTAAAATGTGGATCCGGGTCATTCTAAGCAGAAATCTGGTTCTGTCGAACCATCCTCTAACCGGATCAGGTCCCACCCAGAACAGAAGCCATGTGTGAACGTACCTGCTGGATGTCCTGCAGACACTTGATGACTCGGATGTAGTCCAGGTAGACTCTCCCTGCCGTGTCCCAGTCCTGGATGCTGGCGCTGTGTTCAGGTACTGCCAGGCCTTCCAGGAACTCCAGCAGGTAGTCGTGGTCGTCGTTGATGATGCAATCTGCAGTAGGCCACAGTGAAATCAGACTCAGAAAATCTGCTTCAGCCGGAAACTTAGGCTACATTCACACTGCAGCCTGAAGAGACCAAGATCAGATTTTTTTTTTGCCAATATGCGACCTGTATCCGATCTTCTCAAGACAGTCAGAAAAACACAGATCTGATTTCCTCCAATGTAACCCAAACTGCTTTGGTATGTGGTCCTGAATCCAGAGGGAGATGATCTTTTCATATGCGACCAGGTCGCATTCATTCGACCTGAACGTCATTAATCCTCAACAAAGGTCACTAGTCAGCATCTTGCTACGCAGAAGTGGGAAGTAAAACAACCATGGAGAACGATTTTTTTTAACCATCTATAAAAGATTGAGTTTTATGTTTGGGAAAGATCGCTAGATGCGCTTCAGCTCTAACATCCATGTTTACTTCTGTAACACAGAGCACACTTGCTTGCTGACGTTATTGCGTCCTCTACTGTGCATGCGGGACACTAGAGTTGTATGAATAAAGTTTACACAGAAAATGACATACAAGTTGCACATATTTGGAAATGTGGACAGCAACCCAAAAAATAGAAAAAAAATCAGATATCACAGAAAAATAGAAATTGAACATTAAGGCCTGTCGCGTCACCTTGTCATAAAAAAAATCTTGAATAAAACCGAATTTGACCCGTTGTGATTTGGTTCTGCTCCAGTTCTCTCCAGTGCTCCTTTACTTGGTCTAAGCCGCAACACTGCCGCCTTTCAGACCCATTTCAACAAACTCCTACAGAACAGAACCTCTGACCTGATCGGACCTACTAAGCATCCCTGACCCCCCCCCCCCTCCCTCTGGTACCTGAGGCCAGGTGCTGGATCAGCAGCCGGTGGCACTGGTTCCAGTATCCGGCCCGGTACAGGTGCAGCGCCTGCTGGCGCCGGTCTCCGTCCCTGTGGGCCCGGATGGCCTTGGCTTCGTGGATCCAGCTCTCGGGGATGAGCAGCCGCTCCGTCAGGAAGCGCTCCCTGCAGACAGATTCCTCCGTCTCCAGTAGGGGGCAGTGTAGCGTCAGCATCTCCCTGACGGCTCGCTCTCGCTGGCTGAGGAGAAACAGGAAGATCAGCACCCTGATGTGGACAGCCGAGCTGTGATCCGTGATGGGCGATGCCCGCCTACCTGTGGTCTGGGATGTGCAGAAGGATGAAGACGGCCATGTGCCAGAGACCGGCGCTCTCCAGCTGGGCGGCGTAGCTGGCGTGGACCAGGCCTTGCCTACAGACGCTCAGGTGGCTGTAGTTCAGCGCCTGCAGGACGCCCCACAGGTGCCAGCTGAGGCGGTAATCCAGGCGTCGCCAGGTGACGGTGAGCGGGTCGAGCAGCGGCTGCAGGCTGTAGTGTCTGCATGAGGAAACAGATCTGAAACCTTAATGCCGATCATCATCAAGCTAAAAATGTTCTGATTATTAAACCTGATTAACATGTTTGATCCCCATCAGAACAGGACATTAGGGGAACCGGATCAATCCAGAACAACGTTAGAACCAGCGATCCAATCAACTACGGATCCATGAGCTGATATGATATCCAATGCTACAGCTGAGAGAATGAGCGGTTTCTGTCAGCATGTCAGTGAAGGCATCACGCTTCACATTAGCATTAGAAACTAACAAACATAGATATAAAACCTCCAGAGCTGCTGTCATAGAACTGATTTCTATTTCTCCAATATCTGATCCAGACAATCAGTTATTGTCGGATCATAGTATGGATTTGGTTCGTCTCTACTTAGAACTCGATTTGTTCATCAATCTCTGCTGTTTGAAACATTTTAAGGTCTCAGAACTTTTCTGGCTCCTTCAGCGGCTAACTGGACCCATTAGAATCTTTAGATGCTTCAGAACCACAGAATAAAAACTGGTTCTGGTGTTTTTACCTGTCGCTGTAGAGTTTCAGCAGGTGGAAACACAGATCGTACAGCGGCCGCTCAGACTCCTCCTCCTCCTCATCTGGTAGCTCCGCCTCCTGGTAGGGGGGCAGGGGGGCACAGGCGTACCGGCCAGCCTCAGTGGAGCCCTGCAGGACAAGAACCAAACTTTGTGAGGAAAGTTCTGACCCGGCAGCGGCGAGCAGGGTGACTGAGGCTCACCTGGAACGCGGCTTCATATTTAGCGAGGGCGTCGGCCACGGAGGCGGTGGGAGGCAGCATGTACCACAGGTGCAGCGCCAGGCAGCGCTTCCAGTCGAGCTCAGAGCAAACGTTCACCGCCGACTCAGACGACTGCCACACCTGCAGCGACAGGAAAAAGTCTGAGGACGGGTCGCCCAGCAGGGAACCATAGAAACAAACCGAGTCGGCAGACTCACAGCCTTCCCGGCCAGCAGGACAAAGATCCGAAGTCTGTCCTCCGTCATGTAGTGGTCCGTCTGCATCCGGTTCCAGTCGGCGAGCTGCAGGCCCAGCAGGTCGCGGCAGAACTGGGAGCCGACGGCCTGAGAGAGCAGCAGCGCCAGCCGGTGGTCTCCTGCAGACAGACAGCTCGTCTTCATCACCATCATCTCCTCTAACCTCAGAACATCCACTTTCAGCTCCTGGTTCCGCTCACCTTCCTTCTGGGCCACCCGACACGCCTCGCTGATGCGGCTTCCTGTCAGATAGCTGAAAACTGCCTCTGTGTGACGACTCCTCCCAACCAGCGCCACCTCCTTCTCCACCCTGCAGGAGGCGCCGTGGGATAGCCAGGCGGAGAAGGCGCGCCGCCTCTGCAGCTGCTGCTCGTATTCGCCCAGCGGTTCTGGTTCCGAGTCCTGATGGGAGGGGCCCAGGCGGCCCCACAGGGCCTCACACAGGGTCCAGACCTCGGCCCAGTGAGCCAGGACGGCTGTGGGGGACAGAGGAGGACGTTCATTTCTGAGGTCAAAGCAGACTCCGCCCTTCACCAGGTTGGGTCTAAAACTCACGCTCTGCGTCGTCCCGCCGCTCCCTCAGCTCCGTGATCCACTCGGCATACTCGTGCAGCGCCGCCACGCCGCTCTGAGGCTCCACCAGAGGACAGGCGCCTCCCTCTGGGATGCTGACGGTGCTGTTCTTCAGGCAGATCTCCAGGGGGCGCTGCAGCACCGCATTGCTGTCCTCCTCCTCCTCTTCCTCACTGGTCTTCCTCTGCAGAGGCTCCAGTCCCACCAGCTGCTCCAGAACCACCTTGAAGGGGCTCTCAGCGAGCCTGAACACAAACATTCAGACAGAAGATCGGTTCTGAAGAACATGAATCAGTAGAGGAGCAATGCAGAATCCCAGCAGATCGAGGTCCGCTGTAGGAACCAGATCTGCTCGTGGGCCCGCCCCTTCTTATGATGTCATCATATGGCAACTCCACTTGGACAAACTGTATTGCACCCGTTTCTTAAGGATCAAATCTCTTTTGGAGTCTTAACATATCATTACCTACTATATTATTTTACATTTCATGTAATCTAAAGTAGCCGAGTGTAGAAAACAATCATTGTCAGTCTTGAAAGAAAGCACTGCCCTCTAAGACAGAATGAACTCTGCCGTTTGCCAAGGTGAGGAAAAAAGTCCCAGCTTATCCTAAATTATTTTTATTAAGCTCTGAGGAAGGGAAGGAAAAATAGAAAATCCTAATGAATGAATTTCATAGAGATTTTAAACAAAACAACAGTTATTAGAAAACTAACGGTTGACACAAAGATAATAGTGTGGCTTAATAACTGACCGAGCTAAAACCAGCTAACCTATTAGCTACCGAGCACAGCTAGCCACAGAGCTACACAGCTCTTCCCTTTATATTACGGTCTTGCAGTTAATTTATTCAGCATTGACAGATTTTTTCAGTTTTGTTATCGATCAGGTAAAACTTCATCGATCATTAGACACGCTAACGCTACAGATGCTCCCAACTCTGCACACAGACACTGCATGATGTTATTGTTGTCAGGGCAACCACATTGTTTTACATCATGTAGCTTAACACCACTGATATGCCCAGAGCCTGAGCAGATCTGGTACCTACACAGGAGGAGCGGAACCAGCAGAGCCCTGCAGGAGCCTTTAAAGCATCGGGTTGAAAAGAAGATCTGGTTTTAAACTCCATCAGAACATCAAACTTCTTTATCTTCATGAAGACGCTTAAACTCAACCTGCTGTTTGTTTTTATGTTTTAATCGAAGAATCTTTCTGTGGATCATTCAGAACTGAGGTCCACTGAGAGGCACCGGTTTCTCTGGGCCCACTGTGACTCTGACCCGTCTTTTCAGTCTTCATCCCTAAACTAGGAACCAAACCAGCTCCAGATGTCAGGCTCTGACTCATTTCCTTATTCCAAAATAAAACACGTTTTCTCTTCGGTTCTGGAACCGCTTGCTTTGAGGTTTTATTACTAAATTCTTTGTTGACTCCGCAGGCTGACTGGGTTTCCTTCTGAAGTTCTGTAAAGGTTCTGTTATTAACATCCTGCGGGATCCTCTCCAACTAGCAGCCAACTTCTCCTAAAGCTCCTCAGGGCTCTGATGGACCAGAACAGAACCTTCCTGTGCTGCGGGTTCAGAGGTTCTGCTTACGGTTTGTTCCTGGACGGTTTGGGCATGAAGCTGAAGTCCATCTTGGAGCCGACCTCTTGGTGCTGGTTCTGAGAGCTGAGCCGGCTACCGCAGTGGGCCAAGGTCCAGCCGGGCCCCCAGCCCACCCTGAATGAGCGGGTGGCGAAGAGGCCTGTGTCCATCAACAGCGCCCCCTGCAGGACAGCAAAGGAAGGACACGTTGGTTCTGGTTCCAGCGGTACAAGTCGTTAAATGTTACAATAATCAGAACCGACCTTGCCCTGAGTGACTGATTCTGTGAGGGGGACCGGGCCGCCCAGCCTGCGGACTCCCACTGTTCGAATCGCTGGTTCTGGAACTCTGGGCGGCAGCAGGAAGGAGGCGGGGCCTGGACTCTTCCACTGCATGGGCCGTGGAGGGTCGGCCAGCGCCGACGGCCGGGGGGAGTCCAAACGCTGAGAGGTACTGAAACGGGCCTGAAGGAGGCCCCCGACTGCAGGAGGAGGAAGATCAGTTAGACACAAACATCGTCATCATCATCGGTGCTGGTTCTGGGGGTCTGTACCTGGAGGTCGACCCAGAGGTCCCGACAGGACGACTCGAGGAGACGAGGTGTCAGTGGACCCCCTGGTTCTGTTCTGGAACATGTCATCTTCCTCTTCCTCAGTGAAGAGCGACGCCTTCATGATCTGAACAGGAAGTGACCCGATTAGGTTCTGATCCGATTTATTGGCTGCAATAAAGGAAAACTGTCCGAGATTCGGGTTCTTCTCTACTCAAACTGGTAGTCTTACTAAACTGGGTCTTACTGAAACCCAGTTTCAGTAAGACCCAGTTTACTTGCAGGAAGCAGGTCTGACATGTAGGAACCAGAACCAGTTCTGAGCAGGAAGCCGGTCCTTCTGGACCAAACACCTGAGAACGATACAGACTTCCTGCATCAGACCTCAGTGAAAAGCTTAGTCAGAACCAAGACTGGATCATTGGTACCATGATGCTGGTCAGAGTTTCTAGGGGTCATAAGGAATCCGCTCTTTGTTAAAGCAGAACCTTGAGGTCGGATAAAGTTCTTCCTCTGGACGGCGGTTCTACCTGCAGGGTGTGCGGGTTGATGCCCAGAGAGGAGGGGATGTGGCTGGACCCAGTCAGCTCATGGTCCGCCAGAACCTCCCCCCCCAGCTTGCTCAGCTCCGTGTCGTCCAGCGGCAGCTCGCCGTCTTCGGCTCCCAGGATGCTCTCCATCGGGACGCTCTGCGTGATGTCGGCCATGTCGCTGTCCAGCTCCGCCATGCCGCTCGCCAGATCCACAGTGGTGGACTGAAGACAGAGAGAGAGCGTCCAGAGGGTGAGACAGAACATCCTGGTTCTGCTGTGAGCTCAGAGATCCATCAGTTCCTTCCAGAACCCAAAATAAAATCAGTCTCAAACTAAAAGGATCTTCATAAACAAATTTTACTAAAACAGAAAAAAATCAAACATTTTATCAGCAAAAACCCAAATGGGTCAAAACATTTCATCCATAATCAGATCTTTAAAGTTCAAGAAGCGTTTCCTGCAGATAGACAGTGGAACAGCTCTGGTTCTGATGGGAACTCACAGAACACCACCCACTGTGGATCAATCGGCTGTTTTTGCTACGATCCCCAGAGATAATTTCATTTTTGCATAAACATGATTAAAAGCATAAAAACCCAGAAGTTCAAAGAGCAGAAACATCAAAGCTGTGTTTGGTGGATCATCATCACGTTCTAGTAAAGGAACCAGAACCTCATCATTTCTTAAACAAACTAATGGGTAGGGCTGGGTATTGTTCAAAAATTTTCGGTTCCGGTACCGATACCGATACCTTCACTTCGATACCGGTTCCTGAACGATACTTTTTTCGATACCAGTTTTATAATATCAATTCGAAAAAAAAGAAAATTACACAACATAAAAAAGTACAAATCTTGAGTTTTATTTTAAGCTCTGTTTTTCCATTTACATTTTTCCTCTTACATAAAAAAAGAAATTCAGTGTCTAATATTCACTGTTACATTGTGAGGACCTTTTTACTTAGCAGTTTTCCTTTAGAAAAATTACCATGTCTGACAAACAAGCCCGTTGAATGGGATCCTACTGACAGCGCTCCGCTGGTATGTGGGGGTCTGAGTGGCTCCGACAGAAATATTGGAAGGCAGGATGAACTGACTGCACTGATTAAGTTTTCAGGTGGATTTTCCCACTTAAAAACATAATAAAACTACTTTATTCCCACTGATCGCAGCAAATATAGCTGCAAGGCAAATAAAGGATAGAGATGCTCCGCCCCACGCGCGTCAGAGCCACTTTTCTACCGCGCAGCCAGAGCAGCAAAGCTTATTCAGCTGCGCGTCAGAAGCTGGTACAAGCAGCAAAAAAGAAGCAGCAGACGTGATTTTGCTGCTCTTGCTGCGTTCAGTTTGAAAGCAGCATTCTCCATGAGTGTCTCGCATTATTCACTCCGCTCTGTCTTTGCTCTGCCCACGGGCTGCTGAGAGGAGGATGGTCGCGCTGGCTGCGGTCCGCTCTTCTTGCAGTCAAACACCGAGCGACTTTCTGCTCTTAAATTATTTCCGTGCACGATGTATTGCATTGCGCACTATTGGCATCAGTCTTAATAAAGTGAAGCCGCACTTTTGACCTGGGGGGCATTTTAAAGGGGTTCCTCGACGCTGCAACCAGTTCACAAAAGATACACATGAACCCTGGCTGTAGGCGTGACCACCTGTGTATTTTTCCTGGATGACGCAATCATGTTAAGTGTTACAGCCAATCACCGAAACTTGGTACCGAAAGACAATGCATGTTTCGATACTCTGTAGAACCGAAGCATTTCGGTCGGTACCATAAAAGTACCGAAGTTCGGTACCCAGCACTACTAATGGGTAACGATGCAGAGTTAGAATGGGTCAGTCAGAACCACCACCACATCCTTCTGGTTTGGACCAGATTAAAATCGACTGAACTTCTGACTACAGAACTTTATATCCGATCAGAACCTGCAGTTCTTCATCATCTAACGTAGACAAAAAGCTCAGAACCAGCAGATAAACCAGTTCTATGAAAGCGGGTTCATAAATCTGGGCTAGAAACCCAAGAACAAGTTAAATCTGGAGGAGGAAGAGGAGCAACAGAAGAATCTCTGATCCGACTTTAACGTTTTCCTCCTTAAATCTGAGACTAAACAGAACCAGAACAGAGAGATGCTCCAGCCCATCAGAGACCAGTTCAGGCTGGTTTCCCGTAACTAGGATACAACCAGAAATGTAACAATAGAAGCTAAAGCAGGGCCAGACTGGGTCTGGATCAGAACTGGAGCCGCTGCTCTTCATCAGTGGAAAGGATGTGGCTGTCAGCGAGGATGAGGCTCTACCTGAGCCTGTGGCGCCACCTGCTGCTGAGATGGAGGAAGCAGCTGCTTCAGCCTGGAGGCAGGCAGTGACATCATCGTCTTCAGCTTCTTGGGGTCAGTTTTAGGCGGGACGTCGTCGTCTTCGTCGGAGTCCTGAAGTCCATATTTGGAGAAATGGGTGACCTGAAAAGGAGAGAGGGGTCAGAGTCAGAACACTACAGAGCTCAGGTTTCTTGTTCAACAGAACCAAGATCCAATCCTGGACTCACCTCAAAGACCCAGGAGCCGGTCTCTGGCCGGTACTCCAGGAAGCGGGCTCCCTGCCTCCTGGAGGCCTTCTCCAGCCGCCCTTCGTAGTTCATGTCGGTCAGACGCTCTGGGCTGCGGATCTGAGCACAGGTCGTCTTATCGTTTGGCCAGACACCGTCCAGAGTCACCTCGGCCCGTCTGCACACAGAACCAGAACACTCAGAACCGTAAAACAAATCAGAGGTAAACCAGATATAGAACAGAACCATCGGGCCTGATGAGACGCTCGTCTCCATTTAGGTCCAACTTCGCCAGGTTTAACATCTCTAAACAAGAACTAGTTTTATTAACCCGGAACCATTTTGGCCGGACAGAAGATGATGTTCTGGAGCTTTATGTCATAGGGAAGCGGCTGTTCCAACCGTTGCATTTCCGAATTCTCCCGAGTGGTGCCCAACTTTACCTGAGTGAATAATATGGATGCGATTGGTCATTTAATAAGAGGGCAGGATTGTTGTGGCGGAATGTTTGCAAGCAAGTTTGGTTGTGCTTAGATTATCGGAAGCCTCTTGCTAACCAATTAGCAACTTGGTGCTAGTAGGTTCCCAATGGGAAATTCCATTGGGTTCAAGTAGCACTAAATTTTATGACTTAGAAACGACACTGTCAAGGAACGCTATGGACAGAGGAAACATGCAAGAGGAGGAGAGTTTTGTGTCGGAGGTCGTGGATGAGTCTCTTCTGTCATACATTTTTTATTTAAAGGAGGAAAGTGGAGACAAAGATGTTGTGCAAGAGGACGCCAGATGCTTGGTTTGGTGTAGAAGGCTTCCAGCCGTACATGTCTGAGCCCTTGCCTCGCAACGCTGCCAGTTCTGTTAGCTCTACGCCTGCTGAAGACACAGACGTCCATCCCCGTGAACACTGGGACGCAACTCAATGGGAAAGGAAATGATTCTTATTTCAACCGTTGCGTATATTAGCTTCGACATATGAATAAAGATGCCATAGCTGAAAAAAATTTGAATGACAGATGACCGTTGATATATGATTGGCCGAATTTAGTTGTTCAGGCTGACGTATAACTAACTGGCCTGCATAAGATAACAGAACATTATTTTATTAGCATTTCATTAGCTGATGTCCAGATTGTCAAATGCCCCATTTACATTAACCTTTTGAAACCATGCCCAAAATAGTCAGAATACGGTGAACAAGATAACCGTTTAGTGTAAACAGAATGCAGCTGAACTGGACTGTGCCGACAAAATGGAAGCGCGATAAATCTAGTAATAGTTCAAAAGTAGGGCTCGGCACACTTCACTTGTGGCTCGGTTCTCTGATAAGGAGCACATGAGCAGATCGCCACATCGGTTTACATTCAACTGACTCATTTTGAGGGTTTTCCAGAGTGTCCGGCTTTGCCAATCACAGATCTCCTCACCTGTTCACAACACAAACTTCTTCTCAGCCTATTAAGAATAAATTAAATCAAAAGAGCTAAGAAAGGCCAACCTGGGATGATGGCTCCTGAATGTTATGGGCGCCACCATTTTTATTTGTGTAATTCCTGCCTTGAGAGCTGTAGTATCATGGACCGCCGATAGGAGGTGAGGAACCATGCTAGCGCGATGAGTAAATGGTCGTAAGAACCAAACTCGGCGCGGATAACTGATGCAAGCTCGGTCCAAACTTGGCATAGATCGGTTTCAGCGGGCTAGTTTTAACAGGGTGGTCACTTCACCTGTTAAGCCCCTCCCCCTCCGGCGGCTTGTTCTTGTCGTCCGGGTAGACGATGACCTCTTTGCGTCTGAAGTGGACGATCTCATCCAGGTTGAGTCCAGTCAGGTTCACCTCGCCGGGGAAGAAGATCGAGCCATAACCTGTGAGGACCAATCAGCAGAGAGCTCTCAGACAGCCATCCAATCACATTCATGCTGGGAGGTTTTCAGACACAAAGACTTACCTTTCCTGCCGATGGTGAAGTTCTCCACCACACACTCTCCATTTTCATCCACCATCTCGGCCAGATCGTCCAGGGAGGGGATGGTGTAGTAACCCATTTTGTTCAGAACGATGCCTGCAAACAGAACCAACGCTTTTAGTTCAGCTGAAATCAGAACATCTGTGCAGCCATGCAGCTGTGTCAGTCTGTTCATTCTCACACCAAATACAGACTGATTCACGGGTTCAACCAGACAGACGGTTCTGACCTGCAGGATGAGGAGACTGCTTAGGCTCCTGCTGCTGCTCCTCCTCCACTTCCTCCTGCAGAGAATCCTCCCCGAAGGACGCTGACACATCATCACTGCTCAGCTGAGAGTAAAAAAGAAGAAGGGGTCAATTTGCTGCTTTGGTTTGCACCGGACAGAACCAATTCTCTTCACATTTAAACAGGATAACGCTCCATCAGTTTGCAAACCTACAGCAGGTTCGTGGACCAACTTCCTACCATCAAAGCTCCTAATGTTTTAAACGGTATCTGTTCTGCTCGTCTTCCTCTATATTTCTATGCTGAACAGTGAAAAGATTTTTTTTTTCCCTAAAGGAATTAGAAAAAGGCACAGCTAGATGCTCTGGATCTTCATAGCAAACGTCACATTTTCTTCCATGTAGTTGAAGATAAAGGAGATCATGGCTGAAAAATTAAAGAATGTTTCCCCTACTGTCACTAACTGGATGTGCTCTCTTCATCCAGACATGGGAGCTGGCTTGGAGCTCGTCTGTGTGTTTCCTGGTCGGGGCTGCCTATGGTGCTGGTTTAATGCCTTTTGTATCTCTGCTTCTGTCTCCTTGAACCCCAGTCGGCCTCGGCAGATGGCCGCTCACACTAAGCCTGGTTCTGCTGGAGGTTTCTTCCAGTTAAAAGGGAGTTTTTTCCTCTCCACTGTCGCTACAAGCATGCTTTGATTGAGGGATTGCTTTTGAATCAATGAGCTAATGCAATCAGCTGGTTTCCTTAAATAGAAAACTTTGAAATGATTTGCCTGTAGGATCTGGTTGAATTGCCTCTGTAAAGTGCCTTGAGATGATGTATTGTGCATAGAAGCTATAATAAAATAAAATGAATTGATTTATCTTTCAAATCTGGAAACTTTCCTCCATGTTCTGGGTTTGCTCACAGATCCTAACTAACCAATCGGCAGCAGAATGAAACCAACGACGCCAGAACCTCTGAGGAAGAAGTGGGTCTGATAATTAACAGGTTCTGTTCTGAGGTCCTTGATCTGATACAATAACTAGAACCTCCCAGAGAAGCTGGTTTCTATTGGATCTCCTGTTCTGGTAAGTGGGCTGCTGACCTCCAGGCCGTTCCTCGGCTGCTTGTGCATGTTCAGGTCACTGATGGTGTCCTGCAGGCTGCTCTGGACCCGGCCCTGTGGGATGGGTTTGGCGATGGGGTTCACATAGAACTGGGTGACTTCTGGGTCATCGTCGGTCCGGTTGCTCACACCTGGAACCTCCCGAATGTCCTCCTCCTCTACTTGGCTGAAACAACAAATAGAACCATTCAAGTTGTAAGAAAACTGATCTTTTTCCACACACAAAAAAGATCTGAGCTAGTTTCTACCGAGAAACTGGCTCAGGTGGGTTTTGGTTCTGCCTCAGCAGGTTTCGGCCCACAAATGGTACCTGTGTCCGTTCTGGGGGTAGTCCGATGGCGAGGCCAGGTCATCGTTCTCCTTGTTCAGGCTGCTGTTGCTGTACTGACTGCTGTTTAGGTTCTTCAGAACCAGCTTCTTGATGCTCTTCCTGTAGAGAAAAACAACCAGGTGGCATGAGGCACCGGTCAAAACGGGTCACACATTTGGACCGGTTCAAACGGATCAGAGGAGATCAGGAGCAGATGTTCCACCTGAACAGAACCGTGGCAGAATCTGCCTTATCCAGTCCATCAGACATGGTTTAAATCCATTACCATGGCGATGAGGCAGTACCTGGGGACGAAAGCTCCGTTGGTGAGCGACGGCTCGTCGTCATCCAGACCGTCAAACAGCTGTGACTTGGAGGCGCCGGAGGACGTGAGCGCTTTGGGCCGAACCTTGGTGGCAGGTCGGGGGGTGAGCTTGTAGTGGGTGGGCGTGGTCAGAGCCTTCTGGGCCGTTGGATTGGTCGGCTTCAGACGCTGACAGAACATGATAATAAAAAAAGAAAAACTATTCAGAACAAAGGTTCTGGTCCTTCCTGAAGACCTACAGTTCCAGGTTATGATCCTTTTCTTTGGATGACGGTAACCAGAACCAACGGCGGGTCAGCTCACCTCCTCCTTCTTCTTCGGATCAGACAGCGGGTTCCTGAAGAGCGGCGAGTCGCCGTACGGAGAGTAGGCCAGAACGTTGAGCTGTTGCTGCAGCATGGCCTGCTGGGCGGCGTTGGCGTTCGGGTCGGTCAGCGCTGAAAAGGGGAAGCGCAAAATGCTGCCTGGTCAGAACACTTAACGGCAGCGGGTCGGAAGACGTTTGAATGACTCATGGTCCTGAAGGAACAAGTACCAACAACTCACCAACGGGCTGCTGTGGTGCCCCAAAGCCCAGACCCGTTCCTCCGCTGTTGAAGCCTGTGGTTCCAAACGCTCCCATGGTTCCCAGCGTGGTGCCCAGTTTGTTCTGGTTGTTTCCAAACAGAGTGGTTCCGGTACCAACTGATGACAGAGAGGCCAGTTTGAGGCTTAGAAATGGGTTGCTGTTCTGATCAGCCGCCAGATTTAATTACAGTTCTGGAACATTCTGACGGGTCGTTCCGAACCAATATATTCAGAAGCTTTAATGTGTTCTAGTTAAAATATTTGGGTTCTAATAAAAGTTCTAACATGTTTAACCATGAAAAATGAACACTTTCTACTTAATCCAGCATTACCTGTCCCAAAGCCGGTTCCAAGCCCAGCGCCGAGTCCACCAGTGGCCGTCTTGTTCCCAAAGAGTCCTCCTCCAGCTTGGTTGGTACCAAACCCTAAAGACCAGAGACAAACATTTATGCAAAAAACAAGCCCACGACGAGACCGGACCAGCAGAACCATCCAGGCTTACCGAAGTTGGAGGTGTTGGTTCCGGTTCCCAGAGTCAGGGCGGGCTTGTTCCCAAAGAGAGTACCGGTGCCAAAAGACTGAGCATTTGTTGTCGTGGTTCCAAAGCCAGAGGCTTTGTTCCCGAACAAACTGGGCTGGAAAAGGACAGACAGAACCGCTGGGTTTACTGGGGCAGCAGAACCAACAGGATGAGTTAAAGGAACCGCTTCTGGACCCTGATGGCCTCATAGGCCAGGAAAGGATTCAGGTTCTTATTCGGGACCGTAACTTCAGCAGAGCCTCTGACCCAAATGTTCAGAGTTTGAAGAAAATCGCTGCAACAGTAAAAAATAGAAGCTCTGATTTCTACCTGTGTGCCGACGTTTCCAAAGCCAGCGTTTGGTTGTGCAAAAAGCCCGGTTCCCGTTCCAAACCCAGTGGTGGTGCTGGTCTGGGTGTTTCCGAACAGGCCGCCGGGTTGAGAAGCCGCCGTGCTTCCAAACAAACCCTGAGGAGACATAAAAATCCAAATAAAAACAGGAAAGAGGGACCATTTCCCCCTGGACCTGAAGGGGAGTGTGGCCCCAATAGAACCTCTCACCATGCTGCTGGTGTTGGGCTGGCCTATTGTGTTGGTGTTGGCGAAGTTGAAGCCGGCACTCTGGGTGGTGGTGGTTGCTCCAAAGGGCTTGAAGAGACTGCCGGCCGCCTGCTGGTTGGGCTGTGCAAACAGATTCCCTGCGTTGGTTCCGAAGGAGCCTGTAGCTGCCGGAGCACAGAACCAGAACCGTCACACATCTTCAACATGAAACATTCCTGATTTCTGAACCCCTTTAACCCGGATGAGAACTTACTGGCACCAAATGTGGACTTGTTTGCCCCAAAGTTAAAGTTGGTGTTTGAGGCCGAGGCACCGAACAGTCCCGTTGAGGCGCTGGAAGTGGGTGTGGCTCCACCAAACAGGCCGCCCGTCCCCGGGGCCATCGGGTTTGTGGGGCCCTTCCTGCCCGCCTGGTAGTCCTCCAGCCTCAGTTCCTGCAGAGATATGATAATATGAAGACTGATCTACCCACCGCACCTTACCGCCTTGTGCTGGGAAGGAGCATAAGGCACGTCTCCTGGGTCACTTCTAAATTTCTGTCCAACAGGTTCTGGTTGGACGGACTAAGATGAATCCAAGTCGATAAAATATTACTCAGGAACCAAAGATGGTCACTCAAGTTTTCCCAAAATCACTAAGCAGAAACATGAAATCCTGCTCACCACCCTTTGATCAGCTGGAAGATGCCACCCGGTGGTCATCAATGGGAACCACATCCAGCAGGTCACTTAATATCTAGAAGCTCATGCTGATGATGACCTCAGCTGAAAGCAGTTTATTCCCAGATCCTCCAGCGCCTGAACTTCCTCTACAGAGGACTGTGTTTGAACGTCTGTCCTAACTCAAAGATCCTTTGATCTCTATATAGAGCGGGAACCACCTTGGGGAGTGGAGGCCTAGTGGGTAGGGCATAGAGCTTGGAATCCTGAGGTTCTGAGTTTGATTCCCACTCCCACTGTTGCCACTCTGGTCTCTGAGCAAGACTCTTAACAAACTCCTACCTAGGCGCCGCACAATGGCAGCCCAATACTCCCCAAGGGGATGGGTTAAATGTAGAGGAAAATTTCTCCAATGTGAGATCAATAAAGTTAATTTATTGTTATGACTATATAGTGGAGTTTGTAGTGAACTCAAGTGATCATCTGTCCAAACAATAAGTCAACTACTTTTCTCTCCCCGTTGGTCACGTAACACTGCCTCTAACGCGCTCTGCCTGTGCCATCTTTGTTATTTGTTGACGTTATTGGGTGGCGACAGCAGGCCGCTGTGATAGCAAATCCCATAATGCTTTGCGAGGAAAGCTCTCCGCACAGAGCATTCCGGGATATATCTGCACGTCTAGTGACCATGGATGATCACTTCTTTTCATGGGGTATTGTGGGAAATTTCGAGTCCATTACTTTTTCATCCACTAGATGTTGGGACACTGATCTAAAATGGCGTAACCACTATATAGTCATTAGGGCAGACATTGGACACAGAGTCTGTCAGGTTCTGAAATTGGGCGCCCAGGCTTTCAGACTGATCGAGGCCCATTGAGCTCCTCCACCTTCAAGTCGGCCAATCAAACTCACCTCCAGAGACTTGTTCTCGTACTCCTTCATGGCTGTGATGCACTGATGTTTGGTGTTTATGCTTGTGGTCACACCAGCTTTGACCATGGTGTCACTTCCTGTTGGAGGCTGAGGAGGGAGCAGAATTCTGGTTAAACATGCCGTCGGATCAGAACACATCCCGCTCTCAGAGCAGCTTCCTCCTAAACACTCACAGCGAATTTCACTGTTGTCCCTGGCTGCTGATTGGCTGAAAAGCCAGAGCCTCCAAACAGGGCGGTACCACCGAAAGGGTTGGTGGTGGTGTTGGTCGACCCAAACAGGCCACCACTGCTGGTACTGGTCCCAAAGCCTGGAGGACAGCACAGGAAGCAGAGTTTAGGGTCAACATTAGCTCCTGGCTCATGGCGCTGGAGGCTCGGAAGGTGACGGTTCTGGACTCACTTCCAAAAGAATTTGGTTTGTTGGCGCCGAATGCATTGTTCTGCTGGGAGAAAAGCCCGCCACCGGTGTTGGTTGCTGTGTTTCCAAACAGGCTGGTGGACGTTCCGCTGGCGGCACCAAAGCCAAAACCAGTGCTGGTGGAGGAGGTGGCCGGCTGGCTGAAGGTGCTGGATCCAAATAAGCCGCCTGGTCGGAAGAACCACAGAACAGAAACAACAACATGAAATGGCTCATAAGTTTTCTTTTTAAACTCAAAATTTGTCTGCGGATCAGAACCGAAACAGGACGAAGTTGGGCTAACAAACCGGGTTTGTTCTGCGTGGAGCCAAACAGTCCGCCGGTGTTGGTGGTCGCCCCAAACGCAGACGTTCCAAAACCTCCCGTCGTCCCAAAACCTGTGTCTGGTTACAAATAAAGGAAATGAAGACCTGATGATAGATCTGGGCTGTGCTGGCTTGGTTCAGCTCTGAAGACAACCAGCAGGGCCGTACCAAATGTTCAGCATCACCTCTAATTCCTACCAATTAAAATGCTTTTAACTAACTGTAAAGGACATTTATGGTGTAAATAGAATCACGCTGATGAGAAGCTTGACGTGAAATCTTGATTAATTTGAAAAAGCCTCAAACTATTTTTTTTTAAATGCATAAGAAAATAAACAGCCTTAAATTATGATATATAATTAAATGCAGCTACTGTCAGTTTAGTCAAAAACTTTTTTAGTGCTGAAACAATCAGATTAATTGTGATAATTGATTACTGTAATAATTGTCAAATATATTGACAATTAATAATAATTATTATTAAATAATAGTAATAGTTTGTTTCCTGGATTTTAAAGACTGTAAAATATGCCTTTAGATAACAGATCAACCAACCCTTAAGAAACGGTCAAACCAAAATTGTAATTTTGCATTTAAGATAAAGCTTTTTTGTCTGTCAAAATGCTCTATCCAGATCTCCTTGAGTTGAATCGTTTTAATTTTACCTGGTTTAATTTAGTAAAAATTCTTCTTTAAGGAACCTTTTGCTATCTGATAAATTGATTAACTGAAAAATAATTGACAGATTAATACGTTTTCAAAATAATCATAAGTTGCAGTTCAATACTTTCTCACAACACTTTATTTCTCTAGGGCCCTGTTTCATTATCGATATCAATATATTTTTTTCAAAGTTGATATTTGTGTTTTCTCCTCTGTTACAATCACAGCTTTAGAATGAAAAGAAAATATAAATACTTTGTTATTCACAGTAAACAGTGCAAATTATGACATTTGAATTTTAAATCACCCTTTCTATATTCGTTACAGTTTTAATGCAACACTAGCTTTTAGCCACTAGGGGGAGCTGGTGCCGTAACTTGCAGGTAAACTGAAACTGGCTCTAAATGAACACTCTAAATTTCTCTGTACTTTAAAGATGTTATAATTAAATTAAAGTTTAATTATAAAACTTATTGCTCCTGTTGGGTAAACTTTTCATACACTGGTCGAAGTTTTTTGGGTCCTTCCCAAATTGTGATGTGTTCTTTGTGGACATGCAGTCCAATGTTAATACCTGAATATAAAAAAAAAAAAAAAAAAAAAAAAAAAAAAAAAAAAATCGACCTTAGTTTTGTGCTCTTTGCCTTAAAGTTTATTTGTATTTTTCATTCGAGCCAAGCTCTGTTTGATTAGTGTTTGTTTGTAACTGAAGTAAAATAAATTGGTATCAGACCAGTTTGGACCAGCAGTCCTGGAGTTCCAGGTAAAAACGAGGAAACATTCTCCTCAGGATGAAATCCTCCATCAGAGAACCAGAAACATGTCTGATCAGCACAAGGTCAGAACCAACAGCTGTTTGCTTAGTTAGCTCTGGTGTTTAAGGGGAGCTCAGACTGATGCAAAGTGGTGCTCTGGGTCACATGACCCATTCAGAGACAAATCGACCCTCTGATGTCACAGAGCAGCACAGAAGGAACATCGACACGCAGCAGGCGATGAAGATGGAGCTAAAAAATGTCTCAGATTGTGCTAATATTTGGGTCAAAAGTGACACGTTTGCTTTAAAAACAGGCACCATGTAGCCATACTACAGCCAGATAAACAGGTACCACTAATGATCTGGCAACCCCTGGTAGGTCTTAGAGCTGCTGGTCTGACAGTAACGATAGCACCGAAAATCTAATAATTAGCCTGATCTGCAGCCAAAGGAAAAAAAAATCTCACTAAATGTTCATTAAATGTTCACAGAGACACACATACTATGAGAAAACCAACTCACTTTGCTGACCGAAGGTTGACGTGGTGCCGAAGCCCCCTGTCGTCCCGCCGAAGGGAGTGTTAAATGAACTGTTGAACATCCTGATGGGTCAACAGAACCTCATAGATCTCCTGTGGAGAGACAAACAGCTTCAAAAAGTTATCTCCATCAATTATGATCAACTAACATTTCTATTCACAGAACATCTTCATAAAAAAGAGCCTGATGTTAGAGAGCTCACAGAAATAAAATAAACCTAGAAGTCTTCAGAAATAATAAGTCCAGTCAAGAAGATCTAGAACATTGAGTTTTCATTACTGACAATCTTGCAAAGCCTTTTTTCGCCAAGGTCTGACTTCAGTTGGTTCAGTTTCCTAATCTTAAAGTCGTAGGGAAATGGCTGTTCCAAACGTCGCATTTCCGAATTCTCCAGAGTGGTGCACGACTTTACACGAGTAAATAAAGTGAATGTGGTTGGTCATTTATCAAGGGGGCGGCATTGTTGTGGTGGAAAGTTCAAAAGCAAGTTTGATTGTGGCCGGTTAATCGGAAGCCTCTTGCTAACCAGTTAGCAACTTATTGCTAGTAGGTCCCCAATGGGAAATTCCATTAGGACCAAGTCACACTAAATTGGTGACTTAGCAACGACACTGTCAAGGAACGCTATGGACAGCGGAAACATGCTAGAGGATGAGAGTTTAGTGTTGCAGGTCGTGGATGAGTCTCCTCTGTCATACATTTTTTATTTAAAGGAAGAAAGCGGGGATGAAGATGTTGTGGAAGAGGATGCAGGGCGGCAGAAGCTTGGTTTGGTGTAGAAGGCTTACAGCCGTACATGTTTGAGCCCTCGCCTCGCAACACTGCCAGTTCTGTTAGCTCTACGCCTGCCGAAGACACAGACGTCCATCCCCGTGACCATGGATATATGATTGGCCACTTTTAGGTGTACAGGCTGACATATAAGTAACTGGCCTGCACAAGATAATAGAAAAGAAAAAAATAGAATTTAAGGCAGGATTTTGAAATATTCTAAATTTTGTATCATCTGATAAAGTGTACATTTATATACACGTTTAAGCCAGAATGATTTGACATTCAAATATGATTTCCTTATGACCTTAATAAAATATTGGAGACATGCTGTAACCAGCAGCTGATCAGAAATCAGCCTGTTAGACAAAAATAACATTCCTGTAGGCCAGGCCTTCATCCTGGCTTCTTTCTAGATTTAACCAGACCTGTTAGGAACCCAGTATTTTTGTCAAACAGCAATACGATTTCATTTAAATCTTGTTTTATGTTAGTGAAACAACTGTGTAAACAGTCGCGCTTCATCCCAAAATTACTGCAAGAATATAGAAGTTCATGTTTAAAACGAAGCCTTAAAGCAGATACCAGAAAACGTATATAGACATTTATATAAAAATAACGTTTTTCTAACTTCATCCGGAGGCGCCGTGGGGTCTATCAGGGTTAATGACGTTTCTCCGGGGCTGACTGAGGTTAGCCTAATGGGCCGTTTGTTGATCCAGCTCCATGTGCATCTATCCCGGCCAACTCAGCAGCTTCAGCCCGCTGCTTGAAGCCGAAACAACCCTTCACATTTTAACAGCAGATGGCTCCAAACTCTTTTTCAAATTAGTGAGCTAGTTTCCACAGAGTGAGACCGATCCCTCCAAGGCTAATGTAGCTAAAGCTAATAAACACGTTTGTTATTTCCGCTACTGCTATACACATCTAGCGGAGTTAAGTTGAGAAGCGTTAAAATAACCAGTTATCAATACGGTAGATAATAAATGCTTTAGCCATAGCAACGTCACAGTGGGGGCTTTATTGAAGCTGCATAGCATTTTTTAACTGAAGGCGCTATGCTAACTTCTGCTAGCTCAGAGCTAACTTCGTTAGCAATACAGGAGAGGTTAAATGTGGAAAACAGGAGCGAGAAGTTGAGCTAATGTTTACCTTTACGGGTTTCGAAGAGAGTGTTCGGTCCGTTAACCGGACCTCCACCTAGAGAGATGAAGATATGGACCCTGTGGAGCTCACCGTCACAACTTGGTGCTTCTGAACATGAACTCAGCCAAAAAGCTTCGCCCCGTTAGAGGAGGGAAAACAGCTAACCCTGCGTCACTACGCACTTACATACACGATGACGTAACGGAGCAAATACAAGATTATTATGAAAACAAAAATATTTCGAACATGGACGCCTTTGTAATATTAGTTTTAGATATTTGGTTAAAGAGTAAATAAATTTTCCTTCATTATTTCCTTTTTGATGTTTGGAATAATTTCTGATTTTCCTGTCTGTGATCCTCAGGGTTCTGCTTATCTCTCAGTTCATCTTAGCGCTGCTGTCGCACTTAGAAAACCTTGTTAGATCACATTTTAAAATGATTTATTTATACATGATTTTATGTAACTGTATGCTCATCACCTGGAATAAAATCCGGAATATAATTGCGCATGAAAACAACAATAAGCATTTTATTGGAAGGTTTAAAGGAATGAAAATATTAGGTAGAAAAAAGAAGCAGAGATGAATTTACCTCTGGAACTTTTGTAAAAGGAAAAAAGTGAAGTCATAGGTATTTTGGATTCTGAATGTTTGGAAAAGGACATCTCAGTGAAGTCATAGGTATTTTGGATTCTGAATGTTTTGAAAAGGACATCTCAGTTAAAAAAATAATAATAATAAAATGAGACTGTTGATTATTTTCAAATGAAAATATATTTCAAATTTTTGAATTATGAATTCAGTTTATTTATATAGGGCCAATTCACAACACTCTTCATGAGGCACTTTACAGTTCAACCAGATCATACAAAGTCTTCTATCTAAGGAAAACCAGTTGATTGCATGGACTCATTGACTCGAAGGCAATCCCTCACAGCAAGCATGCTTGTAGCGATAGTGGAGAGGAAAAAGTCAGTTTTAACAGTAAGAAACCTCCAGCAAAACTAGGCTCAGTGTGAGTGGCACATCTACCGAGTCCGTCTGGGGTTCAAAGACACAGAAGCAGACAGAGAAATAAGCAACTGTAAACCAGCTCCACAGGAAACACAGAGCGAAGCAGACAACCTTGAAACAGCTCCCATGTCAGAGGATGAAAGAGAGCACATCCAGTTAGTCACATGGTTTGGATTCCCTGACAGTCGCTGGTGTTTGTCTATTGACTTTTACTAAGTCTAGTCAATATAACCTTTTTCCAGAGGATTTTAGAGCCCCTCATGCTTTATTATTGCAGCTGCAATATCATTTTAGAGCCAACTCATAAAGCAGCGATGCCCAACCAGGGGTATGTGTACCCCTAGTGTTCCGTGAGTGCATTGCAAGGTGTAGAGGAAAATATTTTTTTCTTAGGTAGTAAAATAAAATAGGACTGTGATCTGTCTGGATTTGTGAAAAAATAAACAAGCAACCAACAAGTAAGTTTTTCTTACTTTTTGAGTTCACCTTCAGCTTTGACAAACATCCAAACCAAGGAGAGGAACAGACTAGAGAACAGCCTGGGATCAGCTGTTTTTCACACTAAGCTATCAGAGCTTATCAAAGCAGCTCAGGTGTTTAAATTAAATTAGTCTGACTATAAGTTTTGTTCTGTATTTTGTTACCAATTCATCAAGTTTAAATGTGATTATAAGAGAGTTGCTCAGAGGAGCTCCAGTTTTATAAATACAGGTTTATGATATGATTCTTTTTTGTATTTATTTAAATTCTTTGCTAACTTTCTGGCAGCATATTTATGTTGTTTTTTATTTGAGATGGAAAGCATAATGAATTAAATGCTCAAATTAAATATATAAAATATTTTCTTCTTTTGTAATCAGTTATTGTATGCTCCACTTTTGAACAATCATCAAAATTTCTTACTGAGAGGGGGACTCGTGGTAAGACAAAATGTCCAAAGGCATACATACATAAGCCAAACAATGTTGGGAATCACTGTCTTAAAGTACTGATATCTGCGTTAATCACAATGGTAACACCAGCAAACAGGCTTCACTAACACTTTACAGAGACCTTATGGGATGTTTGTGAGAGGAAGTCAGGAACCAACAATGCAGACAGGCTGCAGGTCAGGTTAAAGCTTCTTGAACGCTCCAGCAGAACCACAGGCAGATTCCTTCCATGCCAGGTGACACTGATGGAGCAGCTCAGATTAAAACCTGAGAGCAGAAACAGAGTCGAATATGTCTGGATTATTATCCCCTCCTAAATTACCAGGTCTGAGGGTTGAAATAGAATTATAAAAATAAAAAAAATACTCTATCTAAACATTCTAAGTTGCATTCATGAAATAATTACTCTTCATTTATATAATATGTTAATATGATTGAGTTTTAGTTATTAGTGGGGTGATTGCAGACTTTATAATGTCTATATATTCTTTTAACTGTTTGGTTTTAATGTGAAGGAAAAATCACAGTATGGGGAAACATAGTCTGATTAGAATCAGACTATAACCAGACTATAGACATTTAATTTATAACTGAATTTATATCAATTTTAATCTGCTCTGTGAGTTATTTATTTACTTTGAGTTCACCACAAAATATTTTACCTATAAAACTTTATTTATAAAAACTAAACTGCTGAAATTCATCTGTAAAACTGTGAAACAGTCAGCGGGTTTGTGGTTTAATGGAGATCAGTAAGGAGTTTATAATCTTTGATAAACAAAGATTATTATTAAAAGTTGAGTTTAAAATAGAATTCTATTGAATTGAATTACTCACTGCATCAGCATCTAGGTTTTTTTTTTTTTTTTTTTCATCTAATCCAACCGGGGGAAATGTTTAACATGTGTTTAATGATGAGCATGGGTGAGAGCTGAACCTGTGTGACGAAGAGGAGAACAGAGAGAGAAAGGAATTGTTTTTTGGTTTGTTTTTTTCTCCCATAAAGACATTGGTTTAGACATTTTCTTTCCATTTAATAAATGAATACATATTAAAAAACTGTTGCTTAGTTTCTCTCATTTAAACTGGAGCAGAAAGGCAATCCTAACATAATTTACACATTAAACTAATCTGAACAAACAGCAGTTATAGAGAATATTCTCCACAGAAACAAAGATCCAGCTGTAAATAACAAACAATCTGCTTCACAGTCACACAGATTTCCCAGTTTTCCCCATTCATTTTATTTCTACCTGCTCTGAATGTCAGGCTCTTTTTTATCATTTTGGATATAAATCCTCTTAATTTATTAAAATCCTTTAAGGTCTTTAGATCCTTGAAAATTTGGACAGGTCTCCTTTCCCTCACTATCCATCGCAGAGACACACAGGACTAAAAAGCAGTTACACACTCATGTCTAAGGTCAATTTACAAAGAACAGTTGACCCATCAGCCATGTTTTTGGACTACAGAAGGCAACAAGATTATCTGTGGGGAGCCCAACCATGCAAGGAAGCAACTTACAAAGAGTTAGAGGAGGTTGGAAATGAAATCAGGGCCATTTTGCTGCACAGCAGGTGCATTATTTTTCATTAGGATTTTCTCATCTTTACACGTTTAACAAGGTGAACTTACAGTGGGGCAAAAAAGTATTTAGTCAGCCACCAATAGTGCAAGTTCTCCCACTCAAAAAGATGAGAGAGGCCGGTAATGTTCATCATAGATATACCTCAACTATGAGAGACAAAATGAGAAAAAAAAAAAATCCAGAAAATCACATTGTCTGATTTTTAAAGAATTTATTTGCAAAATATGGTGGAAAATAAGTATTTGGTCAATAACAAAAGTTCATCTCAATACTTTGTTATATACCCTTTGTTGGCAATGACAGAGATCAAACGTTTTCTGTAAGTCTTCACAAGGTTTTCACACACTGTTGCTGGTATTTTGGCCCATTCCTCCATGCAGATCTCCTCTAGAGCAGTGATGTTCTGGGGCTGTCGCTGGGCAACACGGACTTTCAACTCCCTCCAAAGATTTTCTATGGGGTTGAGATCTGGAGACTGGCTAGGCCACTCCAGGACCTTGAAATTCTTCTTACGAAGCCACTCCTTCGTTACCCGGGCGGTGTGTTTGGGATCATTGTCATGCTGAAAGACCCAGCCACGTTTCATCTTCAATGCCCTTGCTGATGGAAGGAGGTTTTCACTCAAAATTTGACGATACATGGCCCCATTCATTCTTTCCTTCACACGGATCAGTCGTCCTTGTCCCTTAGAAGAAAAACAGCCCCAAAGCATGATGTTTCCACCCCCATGCTTCACTGTAGGTATGGTGTTCTTTGGATGCAACTCAGCATTCTCTCTCCTCCAAACACGACGAGTAGAGTTTTTACCAAAAAGTTCTATTTTGGTTTCATCTGACCATATGATATTCTCCCAGTCATCGTCTGGATCATCCAAATGCTCTCTAGCAAACTTGAGACGGGCCTTGACATGTACTGGCTTAAGCAGGGGGACACGTCTGGCACTGCAGGATTTGAGTCCCTGGCGGCGTAGTGTGTTACTGATGGTAGCCTTTCTTACTTTGGTCCCAGCTCTCTGCAGGTCATTCACTAGGTCCCCCCGTGTGGTTCTGGGATTTTTACTCACCGTTCTTGTGATCATTTTGACCCCACGGGGTGAGATCTTGCGTGGAGCCCCAGATCGAGGAAGATTATCAGTGGTCTTGTATGTTTTCCATTTTCTAATAATTGATCCCACAGTTGATTTCTTCACACCAAGCTGTTTACCTATTGCAGATTCAGACTTCCCAGCCTGGTGCAGGTCTATAATTTTGTTTCGGGTGTCCTTTGACAGCTCTCTAGTTTTGGCCATGGTGGAGTTTAGAGTGTGACTGTTTGAGGTTGTGGACAGGTGTCTTTTATACTGATAACGGGTTCAAACAGGTGCCATTAATGAAGGTAACGAGTGGAGGACAGAGGAGCCTCTTACAGAAGAAGTTACAGGTCTGTGAGAGCCAGAAATCTTGCTTGTTTGTAACTGACCAAATACTTATTTTCCACCATATTTTGCAAATAAATTCTTTAAAAATCAGACAATGTGATTTTCTGGATTTCTTTTTCTCATTTTGTTTCTCATAGTTGAGGTATATCTATGATGAAAATTACCGGCCTCTCTCATCTTTTTGAGTGGGAGAACTTGCACTATTGGTGGCTGACTA